GCAGCCCTCTGGCAGTATCCTCAAATCCAGCCTGCCTAGGCCTCCCTCCCTGGCCATCCAGAGAGACGCTGGCTGGTCCACCCCCTCCAGCCCAGCTCTGCCAACACCTGCCACCTGCCACCGCCCCCACACACACAGCCCATGGGGGAGAAAGAGACTCCGGCTTCCCTCACCCCACTCAGCTACCCAGAGTGTGTGGTGGAGACGTGCGGCACGAAGGGACTATTTTTAGGGGCAGATTTGGGGGGCCTGGCTTCCTCATGCCTCACAAGCTCCCCAGAGCAAGCCTGCCTGCCGTGGGACGGTGGGAAAGGGGTGGCGGAGAAGGACCAGCTGGGACCAGAGGGTGTCTCAGCCCGCACAGGGCGCCTCCTCCCCCTCCAGGCCCGGCTCTGCCAAGATGCCTTCTGCTTGTCACCATGCCAACTGGGCTGGGCCAGGGACCCTCGACTCAGGGACCTGGGCACAGCAGAATGGCCCCACCCCAACCTGGTTCCCCTGCAGCCCCCCGAGGAACCGCTGTGATCCACGGGGTGGCCACTGGGTGGTTTGTGGGCGTGGGTCGCCCAAGGACTTCCTGCCCACCTGATCAGGTGGTGGTCACCTAACTGACCATTCCAAAGCCAGTACAAATTCAACTCCGGCCCCACCCGCTGAAGAACCCCAGGGTGCACACTCCCCTTCTCCCCTGCTGCATCCCGAGAGGCTCAAAGTCAGCACAGGGGCGTTGCTCCTCCTCAAATGAAGGTGGCCCTGAGCCCAGCACACCTGGAGAGAGGACAGCCAGCCAGGGTCCACCACCTGGCGCTCTGGGAAGATCCCTGCCATCCCTGGCTGCTGCACACACCTGGTCGGGATGGAGGACCCTGGCCACTGGCAGTCCCTCTCCTGCACAGAGTCCAAGGGACTGTCCACCCCAAGACTGGCGAGTAACAGGCCAGCCTCGCTCGGCAGCCGAGCCATTCCGCCCACCTCTCCAGAGCCCACCCGCCAGGAAGATCCAGACAGGACCCGCCTTTGAAAGAAGGGGGTCTATTCATGCGGGATGTAGTTTACGGCGCCCTCCAAAGGTTGATTCTCAAAACCTCTGACTCCCGCCCTGCTGCGTACATCTCCCTCTGCCCACAAGGCTCTCCCGCGGCCACCGCCTGACAGTCCTCCTCTCTGCCCCTAGCCCACCGGGCCGCCTGCATGAGCAGCAGCCCCAGGGCTCCCTGTTGTCTGAACCCACACCGTCACCACGTCACTGCCCAACGTCACTGGAGGTAGGCACCATTTTCCTCCATGTGCCCGGTTTGGTCTCCCTCCTTGTAACCCCCGGCCGGGGCTCGGCCCCCCGAGGCCCTCCAGCATGGGAGCAGACACACGTACATCCATCGGGCGAGCTCACCGCAAACGCAGACCTCCGGCCCCCACCCAGAGCAGCCAGCGTTGCGGCACGCACAGCCCCGTGGCCCGAGCCAGAGGCAGTGTGCCCATCGTGAGAAGTTGCACTAGCTGCAGGACGACAAGCCCCTCGGTCCAGGGAGGTGGCTTTAGGGCGCTGAGGGCAGCTGCCCCTGGAAGACTGCACATTATGCTCCCCTGGGGGCCAAGCAGCTGCCCGTCCTGCTCCTAGAACCACAAGGACACAGTGTCCTACAAACAGAAGGTGGCCCTCTCTCCAGCCAGCCCTGCCACAAATGCCCGGCTGAAGGCACAAGGAGGCCTACCTGTGAGCTGCAGTGCAGCCGGTCCAGGGCGGGGCCGCTGGGGCTCTTTCTGGAAGTTTCTCCGGGCACGGGGGCTGGGGGGAGTGAGTGCCAGCAGGAGAAGCTACCCGGTTCTCAGAAACTGATTTTCAACCTGAAGGAAAAGAGAGAGAGAGAGAATGCCTGTGAAGTAAAATCCTCCTTTTGATATAAAGCCAACGCTGGTGTTCATAAACAGGGGCCGAGAGGGATGGGGCAGTGGGGAGGCCACCAGGGACTGGCCACTCTCCAAAGAGGACACTTGCTTATTGTGTGGCGGGGGAGTGGAAGGCATCGGTGGGCATGCTCAGCTGCTGACCAGCAGAGTGGAGGTGGAATTCCACCGGAAGGGCATCAGAAGAAAGATCTGGCAAAT